GCTTTAAATGCAGATCAACTTGAATTATGCAAACAGGTCTCATCTTCTTCCAGTCTTATCCTCAAGGAGAACATCAGAAGCTTGGTTTTCTTTCTGATCATTTTTGTCACACAGCACAATAGCTGTACTATCACCATGGAACACACAATGCTGTTAGAATTTGCTTTAGGCTGAGTCATAAACCATGAACTCGAAGTAATTATTGTAATACTGGGTGAGAAGACTGACAACAGCACTTACTGGAAAAGATTTAATGGACCAGACAATTTCACTGTTCTCTGGAACCCATTTGACACTTCCAACAGTGGTTTTAAACTTTGGTGAGTCTGCATCATTTGGAACTGGAATGTGAATCTCCACATTGTTGGCTGTTGATCTACGCTTAAACTGACTTTTTGCCTACAGAAAAGTGAGAAAAATCACATCTCTAAGCATGAACACTATGCATGTAAATTCAGAGAGCTGCCAGACAATTTCCCTCTACCACAGTCTGCTGAGAGGCAGCACAACACAGAACATAAACGTACAAATCAACTTTTCTAAAGAGAAAAGTCCCAGGGAAACAGGAGGTGGTTGTGTAAGAAGGTGCTGCTGGTGAAGCACTGAAAACAAACAAAAGAGAAGACAAACCAGCCATAATTATTTTAGAACTTCTGACCTTGATCATGTACTCGATGCGGCTGTGGGAATGTTTTTCAATCACGGACTCAATCCAGATCAGTGGCTTCACCTGATGGGAAGATATTTTACAGCTGTAGACTTTACTTTGCCATGGTCACAAAGCTGTCATTTCCTCATAAAACTACACTGAATACACAAATTCCATAAGCAAGAACTGACACACAAGCAAAAAGCAGCAAAAACTGGCAGGCATTAGGGGAAAAAAAACCTAAAGCATTTCTCAGATTAGTTCCTAACACCTTCAGTTGTCAAACATTTCTCCACATATGTGCAGGCTTTTCTGGTTTGTTTTCTTGAACTGCTGCTGGCCTCCTGTCACAGCTGACAATTATAGATGTCCTCTGCACTAAGTATTTCCTTTTCTAAGGAAATGGCAGTGTGCACACACAGTAGGTAACACCGTGAGGAACCACAATGCAGAATGCTGACATACTCCAAGAAATATTCAGAGGACAAATTAACATTGTCAAGCACAGCAAATTGCCACACTAATTGTATTGGGTGATTAGCTTAAAAATGAACTGATCAGCGTTTTAAAAACAGTTTCAGCAGTAGTTGAAAAGATAAAGACTTACTGCCAAGTCATTCCTAAACTCATTCTTACTTGCTCCAAAAAGAGTGAGCACAAAGCTCTGCTATTAATGGCTGACTTCACAACTACTGTGCTGCCCATACAGAAAAAACAGAACACATTAAGGGAAAGCCATTAGCAAATCTACAGACTACATGATCCTGTAAAAAACTGCTGCAGTTCAGACCCAAACACCCAGACTTACGTGGGTATTGAGACGATAGGACATGAGCTCAAACTCCCCATCAGGTGGAATGAAAGAAATGGTCCTGTCGTTCTCAAAGCGAGAGAGACGAACGCACTGATGGAACTTCACATCTTCCAGCTCTACCGATTTACTTTTGCCACCTATCAGCAAACACACATATCAACACTGCAGATTGCTGCTCCCATTGCATGAGGTCACATTGCAGTGTTATGTAGCAGAGCAGATCCCTGCTGATATCCTCCTGGTTCAGCCCAGTAGTTTTTCTATCACTCCCAAAGTCCCAGCAGACGAGGCAATGAAGCCCAGATGGTTTCCATACCTACTGTGGTAACCCATCTTCTCTTGGTATTGGCACACAAGACCTAACATGCTTTTCTGCATAGACAACACAAGTCTTTTCATCACAGAATCAATCCTTTCACTTGAACCCCACTTAAGTTTGCAGAGAACACCCATCACAATTCTGAAGGTATTGCTGAAATACTCACGGCCTGTGTTATCAAAGAGAACTTTGTCATTTAAACCAAGGCGAAGCTCTGGCATTCCTGAGAGAAAGACTCTCATCTTAATGGACCCAACTATTTCACTCCGTAATACGTTTCCATTGGCACTGACCTGAAGGGCAATGAAATAAAAGATAAAGGTTGCTGACACGATATGATGTGAGATCAAACTGCAACCACACCCCATCCTCAGCCCCCAGGCCTCCACGGGTGCCTTTCTCCCGAGCAACAACCCAGCACAGTACAGTCAGACCGAGGACAAGGCAGGATTAGACTGAAGGAGGCAGGAAGGATGTGTCAGAAACTCAGCTTTGGGGCTGCTGAGCACAGAGCACAAATTCCAGTAAAGCATCATTTATTTACCTATGGATGTCATTATAGATTGTCAGTCCTAAGCACAGACAGCATCCAGGGCACTCATCGTGGTTAGGCTGATTTTTTATTATATCCTTTAGGTTTTCAGACAGTAAGTTCTTCTCAAGACTTCTACTAATAATTCTCATTAAAAGTTCAAGTAAAAGGTACCCACCAAAAGGTTAACAGACTCTATAACATCCAGGAACACTTCATTCTTCCTATATTTTATCCCTTCTGATCTCCATGAAACAGCATTTGTAACAGTGGCAGGTGGACGTGGAGCTCCTGTTTCAAGTTTGTGACCCTCCTGAGTGATGTACCTGTATAAACACAAAATTAGAACAAAAAAGAAATGTTTGCAGCATCTTTTGTATCGGATTCACATCATCAATAAATCAGTTGGATTTACAAAGCTACACTTTACCAAGTATTAAATATTTTGGTAACTAGAGGAGGAAGCCAAAGCATTTGTTTGCATATAGAATACATAAGACTTTCCCAAGGACTTACAAGTGTAAGCAGTACAGACAGATACTTACTCTTGTAAAATTTTGCTATCAGTGGTTTGTGGGTATCCAAAATCCATAAGCTCATCTAACAACTCATAAATAATAACAAAATTATCTCTAATGCTCTCTTCTTCCAACTCCTTGAAATATTCAGAAAAAACCTGAAACACCAAAAACAGAGGGAGGAGAAAAAAGGACATCAGCTGAGGAACTACAGCACATTCTGAATGTATTCCTATACCTAAGAAGTTTTGGGGAAAAAAATAAAAAATAAGAAAACCACCAAAACAAAACCTATAATTCCTAAAAACCTTTTTGTTCAGATAAGCAGCAGGAAACCCACCTCAATTAGGAGAGAGTTACAGAGCCCTCAGAATAACTCTGATGATTACAAAGCATATTAATATTGGGGAAAACAGTTGTGATGCCAAGTCCAAATTAACCAAACACAGAATCTACAGATGGCACGACTCATGCATCAACGCTTTCCTCCATATTTTCAGGTCTTGTGCAACTTCTCACAGCACCGTGTCACATCCTTGCTACTCAGTTATAAAATAGCAATTCCATTATTAGCCGTTAGGAAGACTTTTCTATAAAATAGTCAAATATAAAGGAAAAATACTATTACTACAGATTCTTTTTAATAAGGTGAAAGCTCTATGCAATTTTATTAGATCCCACTAACAAACAGATGGGAGTTACATCTGCAACTTCCTACTCACCTGAACTACTTTATATAAAAATGAAAACACCAGTGATACACAAGCATTCTTCTTAGAAGTTGCAACAACTAATGAAGGATGTTCAGGAACACGCATTCAAAGTCATTGTGGGATGAAAAAAAATTACTGAATGTGTTTTTAAAAGCATTGTAAAAGGGGCAGCCTGATCTGCTGCCTGATTTAGTGGTGGGCAGCCCTGGCTGAGGCAGCAGGGTTGGGACTGGATGATCTTTGAGGTCCCTTTGACCCAAGCTGTCCTGTGATTCACTCAATGATCTGTCTGCAGCACAAAGGATACGATAGAGGTTGTTATGTTTAATCCACATGAAACGAACTCCTCCATGTGCCAGAATAGGAGAAAGCATTCCCTCTTCTTCCTTTTCCATAAGGATTGGCATAAAATGCTCCACCTCCGACATGTCCACATCCCCACGGTAATTCCGACAGATGAGAACCTACGGGACGAACAATTCCTTACACTTCTCCTTCGAGACATGAAGTCACCATGCAAGACCAACACATGAGATATTTAAAGAGCCTCTTTAGCTGAAAAACCCCAACACCAAGCTTCACTCAGGTCTATGCATCCTACAAAACAAAGAACCAACACACATTATGATTCGAATGCAAATCCCCACGTTTGCAGTCGTATCTCCTAGCGTTACCCCTCACATACGGCTGCAGACACCCCGTTTAAGATGGAAAAACAGGTCACTCTCCTGGGACAAACCGCCTCCCATTAGGGCGGAGATTAATTACCCCAGGCGGGATGCTCGGGAGCCCCGCAGGCAGGGCCGCTCCCCAACTCCTCCTTCAGCACCCGGAACCGCGAGGAGCGGACACGGCGGGTCCGCCTCACAGCTGGGTGCGCAGCGCCGGCAGCAAACAGCGGGCGGGAAGGGGAAGCAGCGGCCGCAGGGCAGCAAGGCCGGGGAGCCCCACCGTGCCGGGCCCTCGGAGCCCAGCGCGCGCCCGACGCTCTCAGTAGCTCGCCTCTCATGCAGCCCGCAGCCGCAGCGCGGCCTCACCTTCCCCTTCAGGTCCAGCACGTAAACGGCGCTGGCCGACATCGCGCCGCCCGGGGCCCCCGCGCCCGATCACAACCACGGCGACTTCCGCTTCCGGCCGGCACTTCCGGCGGGAAGCGGCTGCGCGAGGCGCGGCTGCTGAGGCCCGGCAGCGCGGATGGATACGCGCGATGATCCGCCGGCCGTGCGCTGCTGTTAAATAGTCCGCGGCCGGCTGCGGTCCGCGGAGGAGAGTTGGGAAGGCTGAGGAGCTCGGTGGAATCAGCGGTAGCGGAGGGAAAACGCTTGGGCTGAAGAAGTGCGTGAGGGTTTGTGATGTGATTCACATCCCCTCTGAGGGAGGGCTGTGAGTGTCGGCACACACGGACTGCATGCAGAGCACTGCCCCTGCTGTGCGGGCAAAGGAGCACCAAAACAATGGCTGAAAGCAGCGTTTTAATAAGTTACATCAAAGATACGAGGGTTTTAGAATACAGCAGAAACCACTCCCCCCCAACTCTGAGCGATTTCGGATAGAAATTACACAGTTCTGCAATTTATGAGAGCAGCTGACACAACGTAATGCTGCCACAGAGAATCCTGCTCCTAACGAGACCTGCTGGCATAGGACAAATAGAGGAACATTGCCTGTTGTCTCACAACAGTTGGGTTTGGCCTTAGTGTGGCTTTGAGCACTGAAAAACACACCTCTGCACCTCCATAAGTCAGCAGCCAAGAAGAGACTTTGTTGAGTATTCTGAAACTGAAATACAACAGTACAAGATGATAAATGTTCCGAAGATGCATTGAATATTCAGTACCAAGAACACAGAGGTTTACACGGCAGCCCAGTTTGATGTAAGCAGAACTCCCCATCCAAACGCCGCCGTTCACTTGGTCCAGCTGACTTTGGGAATGTCGTAGTGCTCGGTCAGGGTGTCCAAGTGCCTGTTGAAGTCCTGCGGGACAGAGGAGGCACAAAGCAGTCAGGATCGGAGCATTCACCGACGCTCAGCCCTCCTCACAGCGCCGCGTTTCCCCTGCGGCTCCGCCCGCTGAACCCCGCCTGGCTCCGCTCACCTCAACTCTCTGCTTGTGGGTTTTCGAGGCCTTCTTCAGGATCCTCTCCATTTGCTGTTAGGAGACACGACAGCACGGTTATCGGCGCGTGGTTCCGAGCCCGCCCCACATCCCGTGTGGGTCGGGCTCGGCAGGCCAACCTACCCGCTTCTCCTGCATCTTCTCGTAGGCCACTTGTGCCGGGGTCCGCTTGTCCAGGCCGCGCTTCTTCTCCTCTTCCTGCTTCTTGCCGCTCACGATCTGCTCCAGGATCTGGGCCTTGTCCTTCGCTTTTTTCTTCTTCCTGCGGACATACGCCGCTCAGCGCCCGGCCCCGGGCCCCGGCCCAGCTCCCGGTTCCCCCCCCGCCCCGCCGCTCACCGCTTCCCGGCCCCCGGCCCCGCGCCGCCGCCCTTCAGCCGCAGCGGCCCGCGCTGCACCGCCTCGTATTCCGCCATGTCTCGGCGGCCGTGCTGAGCAGCGCCCCCTGGCGGCAGAGCGGGCAGCGCGCGAGAGCGACGCAGCCACGGCGCTGAGGTCAAAACCGCTGCAGCCCGACCGCGCGCCCCGAGCTGCCCGTCCCGACCCGCCCCGTTCCGCTCCGAACCGACCGAAAGCCAATCGCTGCCGCTTGTCTTAAGGCGCCGGGGTGAGCTGTAGTGCTGCTGCCAGTTCTGCCCTCGCGTTTCACATTTAACTCACAGTTCTGTTCTTAAGTATGAACGATGCATCCTGTCATATTTTCAGTGCAAAGCCATATACGGGCCTGTATATATGTCAGCTTGTCACACTAATGGCCATTTACTAGAGATAATGCGTGTTAATGGAGGAACAGGGGGCCAAGAGGATTGTACAGATGTTGCCCCAAGTACAGCTGACATCAGTGTGTGATGTGGAGAAAAACGAGACAGGAGAGGCAGCGCTGGCAACACTGCGAGCAGCTCCGAGCACTCGGTGCCGGCTCTGAGCGAGGAGAGGCATTGCCAGTTGTCGGGCAGTCTGCCGTACGAAGGCACGGAGATGTGCTGCCCACCAGAAGCATCAGCGCGGCTCAGTGCTGTAACATGAGGCTCTGCGCACACAGGCAGGTGAGTGATGCTGGATAAGAGCCGTGAGTAGCCAGACTGGAGATGTGATGAAGTGCTCCTATGACGGCTGTTTGCGGCCTGTGGAATAGGGAAGCTGGTTATTTGATCCTCTGCTTTACCCGAACCTCATTGTTGCAGCTTTTAATATCTGAATATCCAGGCCTCCTATAAAAGTGACTGAGGAAAGAATGATGGGACAATCAGCGTTCAGAGCTGGACATGGGCAACAAGCAAACCATTTTCACTCCAGAGCAGCTGGATGCATATCAGGTACAAAACAAACCAAGTGAGTCTTTAGACAGAACACTGAATAATGGTGTTGCTGCTGTTTTTTTTAAACAACCTCTTTAAAAATTAGTAACTAAGAGCATTGAATTACAGTGGAGATTTTAGTAAGATACTTTGGTAAGATTCTTACATCAAGAAAGGTTATAAAGTATTCCTAATTATGTACAAAAAGAAAGAGTATTGATCGTCGGCCACGTTATCATTCTGTTTGAGGCACTGTAGTGGAAGAGTCAGGGCCAATGAGTGCTAAAAAGTGCTATTAATATGATGCCTTATTTCACAGGACTGCACATTCTTTACAAGGAAAGAAATTCTGAGGTGAGTCTTGTGTGTTCTGTGTGTAAAATACAAAGATTGCTGCAAAATAGATTATATAAAAGATGAAGTACATTCAAAAGTATTTTTAATGCATTTATACAAAATTGAAGTCATACATTGGACAATGTGAGCTTTTTTCTTTTTTTTTAATGTACAAAAACTACCTATGCAGTCTATCATAAATGAATCCAGTGTTTTAAATTTTCTGTGAAGGTAACATCTCTACACCATAAATATAACAAGGTGTATTTTAGTGTATATTTTGCTGCTGACACCCATGTGCCCCTCATTTCGTTTTAGGACAAGCGCTTCAAAGCGTCCTGTTGTACCTCGGGACATGTTGCCTGTTTTAAGAAGTCATTAATGATTGTATCAAATTTTATTCACATTTCCTTCATGTAAATAATCAGCAGCAGTTACTCGGAGGCTCTTTTTTCTCAAAGCCTTTGTGAACTTCGTCAAGTGCTGCATTCAACCTCTGGCCAAAGGATCTGGTGTTCTGTTCCTATAGGACTAAGACTTTTCACTGAAAACAACTCTTTGGTTTCTGCACCTCTCAAGTGGTCATCAGGCATTGCTTGCTAATTTCTCTGAAGCATGGAGTATGAGTGACAATTTTGTACAGAATATCCCCCTTTAGAACTTTGATGTCTGTGTACGAATTAAATATTGAATAAAATACAAAAGATTCTGTAATAACTGAAATTTCAATCTGCCTTTCCTTGTAGTAAGTAGATGCCAGAGCCATAAGTGTGTCATGAATAAGACATTTATTATTGATAAGAACCCCTTTTAAAATTCTAACCTATTGTTTTGTTGATAACAGCTATGAATGGGATCTTCACACACACAAAGGGATGAGGAAAATAGCAAGCTGACAAAGTGCTGATACATTCAGATGACTGTGCATACATTCTGTCTCTGAACCTGACCGCTATGGAAAAAGTAGAGATACCTGTGGTGAATGAAAACCTGTTAATCTGTTCTGAAAGCCCGAGGGCTTTGTGTTTATCACCAGTTTCACTGTGCTGCTTTTTTAACGTTGTCTCTTCCACTGACGTCAACTACAGAGTACAATAAATGTTATTTAGGGACTGGTTCCATCCTGGCAAAGGATGCAGAGTGTGAAGAACAGGTAAGGCAAACAGTCGTTCTCAGAGGTCTGACAGCTTGTTCCCTCAGCCAGCCTTTCTCTCTCTCTCAGGCTGTTCCACAGATACAGAGATCTGGCCCCGCAGCTCGTCCCACTCGACTACACCAGCAGGCCCACAGTGACACTTCCCTACCAGCTCATTGGCAGCATGCCGGAGCTGAAGGTACGCAGCAAGGAGCACAACTGGAATCAAGTGACACAATTCAGTTCAATCGACCATTTTTAATAATTCATCCAGTTCTAATTACTAAGGGGACGAAATACAAATACATTTTGCTTACTAAAGTCAAGCCTTTCTGGAACCTTCTAATGATTTCCTGAAAACACCCAGAAAGTGCACAGAGGTTAAAGAAGGCAGCAGCTGTGCCTAACAGATTAGACAAAAACATAATAGCAGAAAAAAGGAGTATTTGCCTGACGAAAAGGGGTTACCAGAAAAATTACTGGGCACCAGTTTTCTTATCTGCACTGAAATAAATGTCATAGGGACGACCTTCCCTCAGTGCTGTGTTCTGTTTCCCAGGACAATCCGTTCCGCCAGCGGATCGCAGAGGTTTTCTCAGAGAGCGGAGATGGCAATATGACTTTAGATGACTTTTTGGACATGTTTTCTGTGCTGAGTGAGATGGCTCCCAGAGACCTGAAAGCTTATTATGCTTTTAAAATTTATGGTGAGTGACCCAGGCAAACAGAACCAAAACCAAAAAAAGGGAACGTGGAGGAAAAGCTGCAGCTGTGCACAGGAATGCAAAATGATCCATTTTGTGACTGTAATGGTTTCTAGTTTGGTATGTCTTCATACAGCATTTCTCTCTGCTTACATTTGAATGCCCACTCTTTCTCCTAGAAACTTCTGGACCCTTTCATCCTATTGTCTCTTATTTATTTGGGATTAGGATTTACTAAAAAATTTGCAAACTGAAAGTATCTTCAGCTTTCAAGAACTGATAAAACATGTAAGAAACAGTTCTGTCTGAGAAGCTGCTTTGAAAAGTGAAAGGGAAGGGATTTGGCTGCCCACGAAGCGGTGGGGTTTGGGCTGGGTTTGGCTGTGAGGGGGAGATCACGCCTCCAGCGCTTTTCTCTAAGGGCAAATTCATTTGTTGTTACTTTCCCCAGGATCAGCCACAGCCAAACAGACAAAAAAACCCCACAACCAATCGAAACAAAACCCACAAAACAACTTTTTTTTCTTACATTAAGTAGTACACGATTGAGCACAGCCTTTAAGTGAACCCCACCAGAACTGGACAGCTGTTATCTTCCCTTCTGCTCTTTCGTGCCTCTAGTTCAGTAGTGCTCATTTGCTAGAATAGCTTAATTATGGCTTGACTATAATTAACCACTGCGCTATTTACGATTGTTACCTTTGGTACAACAGGGAGACACAAGATTGTTATTTTGTTGCTACATGTTTATACCAACACACATCACTTCCCTTCTCGTTTGATCGCTCTAAAACGAATCGTTACTTGCCTGGAAACCAAACCCTTCCTATTGGCTCTTGGCAGTCAGCCATGCGGAGTGCTGTTTTTCTCACTCTGAATTCTTTTTGTTTCTTCTGACAGATTTTAACAATGATGATTACATATGCAAATCAGACTTGGAGAAAACTGTGAACAAATTAACCCGCAATGAACTCACCCCAGAAGAAGTCAGCCTTGCATGCGAGAAGGTGATTTATGAAGCTGATCTGGACAACGACGGAAAGCTTTCTTTGGAAGACTTTCAGCATATGATAATTCGAGCTCCGGATTTCCTCAGGTAATATTGGATTTCAGTTTGTAGCACCCAACTGCTCTACTGGAAGCTGTGAAACACGCTTCGGCTGCTCAGTGGTTACAGATCTCTGCTCTTCCCTAGCAGTTTTGGTAGAGTTGCCCACCACAAAGACTGGGAAAACATGCATGAGAAAGCATGAAGGCTTGCATTTGTATTTCACTGTTGCTTTTCGAACCTCCTGTGTCCTTTTTACATGATAGAACCTCCTACTAACTGAGAAAGTTAATATTATCATGCAGGCTCCATTGATAAATAGCTGAGAAAAGCTCATTCAATGTGCAATGTGGCCCAAGCATGCTTTCTGATATATAAAACAGCATTCCAAATCTTGCATTTATTTAATGGAACAATTCTTTGCAAGTGATTTGAAAAATACTTTCCAACTTAAACTACAGTTTTAGGAGTAATGACAATGAATCCCTTTGAATGGAGTAAAGTGATTCGTAAGTGATTTTGCTTCCTTTTTTAACAGCACATTTCACATTCGAATCTGAACGTAGCAAAACATAAAGATGAGAGCGCTGCTTCTTGAACAGTTTGGAAGTGGAACCGGTCACAGAACTCACCTCCTTAAAAGGAAAAGTTCATCTTTATTGGATTTTCCCTGTTACTCCACAACAGTGTTTCTATGAAATTGCCTGTTCCCACCTCCTTCCCTCACCAAAGCAGTGATGTGGAAAAAAAATGTATTTTTTAAGCTGGGGAACCACCAGGTATGGGGCTGTATGAAATTACAGCTTCTTAAACAAAGGCCCTATGAAAATACCCTTATATCCATTAAAAACCCCACGTTACGGACTCATGCTGCATGCAGGAATCTCTGTACTGTT